CCCCCCCCCCCCCCCCCCCCCCCGCTCCCCCAACCTTTCCCCTCCCTCACAGTTCTAAAATTCACTCTCGAGCAAGTCAGGGTCTCACTATGGGTGCTTGAAAGGAAATATATAAATTTTTATGGCAGAAAACCATTTCGCCAGCCAAACAAGTTAAAATGCTGTAGTCTTGCAAGGATGCTCTTCCTCTCCGTGTAAGCTGAAGAATTCAAATTCTGTTATCGCGCAAGCTTGCTTCACACATGCGGTTACGACATTTTTTTCAGTTGGGACTGTGCCAACTCGTGGCCCGAAAACGATTGTTTTAATTCTGACAGAATATTTATTGTCCATCTGAGAAATTATACACTTAAACAGAGTACTGGCTACTGGCGCCACATCTTAGGGCAGGTAAAGACGAAGTGGAGATTTCGGGTACAGCGCAAGTTGAGAAGCTAAAATTTTGCAAGGACACTGAATATTCAGGTGCGTTCTAAATTTTACGCTTGCTGGCTTCAAAGTGAATAGTAATCACTCTCAGAAAAGTACTTCTTTCTGCTCGGTCTGGTTACCGAGTTAACTGGATGCCAACTGTTTTTAAACTAAACGCTCATTTACACGCAGAGCAGACTCAAAGTAGAGTAAAGCTGGAAGTGAAATATTTAGATTGCGTACAGGCCTAGAATATTTTGCAGTTTCAGTTTCCTAGCTTGGTTGGCTAGCGAAATCGCTTTTCGTTGTAAACACGTTTAGCCTGAGATACAGGGGTATGCAGAGCTCATTTTATTTCTCTGAGCGCGGGTATGGAAAACAAATATTCTCGTAAAGCTAAGGCACTCTAATCAACTATTCTTCGAACTGGCATTCTGTCAGCGATTTCACAACTTCAGATTCGTTCAAGTGACGAAAGGCATGAAATTCCTGAAAGTCCTACTTCCTAGGCTTTCCTGTGGCGCTGAAACGAAAGTTAGTGACAAAAATCTGAATATACACACATGCACTTGTCAATATGGGTTTTTGTATTTGCATAAACACACTGAATAAAACGCATGCAAAAAAAAACACATTAAAATGTATGAAACTAATACTTTCTGATCGTCGCTGTTTTTTAAGAAGATATTATTACAATTTTTTTTCAATTAAAATTCTTCTCACATTTAAATACGTTTTTGAGAAGATAAATTTTTTAAGTGTCTGTCGCCAATTTCTTTGGTTCTTGCTGCTGTATTATTGTTGTGTCTCTGGTAAACGTATTTTTCTAATTTCTCTTGACCACTGATTAAGGCCCTGAATTAAAAAAAAATACTGTGTATTGTCTTCCTGCAGTGTTTGTGCAACTTAGCACAATGCTTCGATTTTTCTCTACCATCACTTTCTTATGCTGAATCAGCTTTAATAGTTGGCTAGCGTACCGACTGCCGGTACGAAGATGCGTTTTCTTGCACAGTTTTCCGCAGTTTTTTGTCGCAAACAGTCTTGCTTTTTCCGGTTGATGCTTCTAGCTAAAAGAATTGAGCTTGGCACCACGACTGTTAGAAAACATTTCCTTAAAACTTCAGTTTTCTAACTTTTCTGATTCCTGAGTTAGAACCTTCGTGGGCTCGCACATGTGGGCAAGAACACCCATTTAAGGGACAGGGGCCCTTATGTGCGTGGAGATTATGTTGTTAAATTTTCAGCATTCTATTGTAAGCCTCGAGAAGAAAAATCGGTACTGACGCATACGTAGATACACTAGCACACGCACAAACATCCTCTCAACAATATGCGTTTTAGCATTGCATGAATGTAAAAAACGCATAAGAAGAGTCAATTTGAATTAATTCAGGAATTCTGTGACTTTGCCAGGTTTTCAAATTTTTTTCATTAATGGTCCCAATCACACTTTTTTGCTCATTATTTCTGCAACACATAATCTGTGAACTTGTATTATAGCGATATTTTGTTGTGGGCTAAAACTGAATCTAAAAATTCCCTGCCGAGCAGCATTAAAAGAAAGGGCTTGGTACAGATGTAATAGAAAATTGCAATAGTAGCTTAGGAAAAAAATCGAAAGCTCTAAAGTGATATTCTAAGCGATTTTCGTTATCATGATTTATCGATTGGTCAAGCAATCTTTGTTTCACCACGAAAAATACATTACCCCTCGTCATATCGTCTTTATATTACTCAGTCATTTTGCCCTTCGCTTACTTTCTTGTTTTAACATGTTGAGGGCACTAATCGCTATATGCCGATGACTCCTTCTTTTGTGAGTCTTCTAAATCACCAAAACGTGTTTTGACGAGATCGTATATATGTGTGCATGTGCATGTATGCATGTTTTATAAAGTAGTTCAGTTCTGAAGGTACAGAAGCTAGAAAACTGGAACGCTGCAAGCACTGCTGCTTACTGCCTCTGGAAGCTTTATTCAATTGTAGTTTATAACTTTAATTTCTGGAAGACACAAACCCAATATTCAATTGACGTCCATCTTCTCCATTATATCAGATATAAATAGAGGCTAATTTTATAACTCAACAGCAAAAAAATTCACTAACTCGAAATATTTGGGGGTGTGGGGAGGGGAGGGAGGGGGTGGGGGAGGGCGAGGGGACTCACAAATTGGCTTGACGCGAATAATCGCGCATGCATTCGAAAGGACATTGAAGTTAAAGCTACGAGACGAGACAAAACTTAAATTTGAAACTTTAATATTTTTTCGTGCATAACATTAATCGATAGTGTTACTTGAAAAAATTTCATTTGTACTGGGGATGTGTTTACCAAGTGGCACTTATAATAGTTTTTCGCAAAAGCGAATAATGGCTTCAGACGCACGCTGCGCATCGATGTTCATTCCTTTCAGGCACAAAGCGAGCAACTTGTTTGAGTCTTGATAAGACGGAAATTTGCTATTGTTTATGTGCTTCTCTGCGTCATCTGTTAGCCAGAATATTTGAAAAATTATTCCAAAATATTCGCAAGCATTCATCTATGAGCGTACCAAAAAATATTCTCTTCTTGCTACCGCTGCAAGTCATACTGGTCAAAGGGTCGACATACGTCATTCGTCGGACAAATGTCTTAGAGAATGCGCTAAACTGGGAAGATGGCAATATTCCATGTGAAGGCGACCGCATTCGATTTGAAGACAAAAAAGTAACAACAGCTCTGGCAAATGGTGACGGCTTAAAAACACTCTCAATAGATTTACCTGATGACGGAATCATATTTTTCGGCGAAAGAATGGAAATGGGAAAGCCAGGCAGTTGGCAGTGTAAAATGAGACCAGAGCCGGAAGGTGCGGAAAAATTTTTTTCAGTAATTCAAAAAATTGAAAAAAGGGAATTTCAATAGTGATTCGGTGTTGAAGTCGTATTTGAATGTTCAATTTGTGCGGCTTTATGTTCTAGTCGGAAAAAGGAGCCGCCTTTAACAAAAAGTATGTACTTCAACGAAAATCAGTGTTATTTTGCTGCCTTTTACATGATTCTCTATTTTTATGGGTATAAACATTTTTTTTATTGTTCATATTCAACTGATATGTAAAAATGCACTTTTATATTTATCTTGTGGAAAGAAAATGGTGGGATAGTCCTTATTCCCATACCGGAGACGCTGCCTTCGAAAAGTTTTTACTCCACTATTCTGAGCAATGAAATTCAGAAAATTATAAAGAAGTTATATTTTAATTTCCGCAACTTCTATTCGCAAGTTCGTGACAAAAAGCAATTCATTCGCGATTCATAACTTCATGAACATGCCTTTTCTGAACATTTCTGCCATTGTTGCATGCATGCTCCAACTACTAATTATGAAGGAGTATGCAAATTTAACTCCTATCACATGAGCTTGCAGATCGAGGTCATCTGAAGCTAAGGGGCTAACACTAAAGTTTTAATCCATTTTAGCTCCAAGAACTAAGTTTGTGAGTCTTCAGCTTTCTAAATACCATAATTGTGGTATGGAAAATTAATGGGAACATATGCACATCTGCTGCCCAAAACGCATTAAAAAAATGTAATTTACAGCAAATTAAAAATTGACTGACAGACTATAAAAAACTTAATAAAAGCGTTTTGAAAAACACACATGGAATAGCAGCAGTGCTTGTCGCACAAATTTTGCGCCAATAAAATTATGATTAAAGGGTCGGTACAGCGAGAAAAAGTGTTATAATGCTTAAAAAAGCGGGATTTGTAGATGTGTAAAAGTAAAACACATTTCTCTACTAAAATTTGTAGAAGTATATTTCAAGCGCTCACCTCCCTTGGCTTTTCACAACGGATCGAATTGGGCAGAACTTATCGGTGGCCAGGAGATTCGACCTATTCTACATGCCCTGCAAGTACCATCATCACAGGTAATTTGAAGTATTTTGCGTGAAATCAAAGGTTTTTACTTGTTCGTATGTGACGGGAAGCGTGACTGTCGTTTTTAAGTCCACGTGTTTGAAAATAGTTGCGGGCCAAAGTCAGACACACACACACACATGCACATACATATACAGACACACATACATACAAACACAACACGAACAAACACACACACACACACACACACATAGGCATCTCCCCATTACTATGTTTTTTGTGCTGCACGGATGTAAATAATACGTAAAAGCGGTGTCAATTAATATGGCACATTTTCGGTTCTACACATTGTTTCTCTGTTTATGTCTGCTCTACTTTCACGGGTTACACTTGTAATTTTTATCAAAAAGTATAAGGCGATCGGACTAATTTTGTAATACTTTTTCAAAACTGGCCGAAACCTGCCTCTCCGCTATAAGGTTTGCACCGCTTTTGCTTGAAAATTTTATATCTATCACTGATTCTTGCTGTAATTTGGCAAGTTGAGCTTTCTAGGATGTCGCAGTAATAGCAGCCGATAGTAGTAGCCGCATACTGATCGATGATTTTGTTACAGTGGGTACGCTTATGTTCGCCAACAAAGTAAGTGAATCTTAATACGCTTGACTTCAGTACTTGCAGCCATTCCATACTAGCTTTATGATACCCACCACTGGTATTGAAGCAGCATTAAATATGAAGTCTCTTTATGAGAATGCTTGTCAGGTCCTCTTTTTTTTAAGAAGCTAACAGCATTTGATCATTTTTATCTCTTAATTGCTAAAATGTCAGCTAATATTTAAAAAAGCATTCGGCACTATGCTTGTCCAGAAAAATCAAAAAAATTTTTACTGTGGAACTGACCAAAACCTGCACTTTTCTGTATAGTATCTACCGGACTCTACAGAACTTAGCTTTCAACGAGGTCAGAATGCGCCAAAAAAGCCAGTTTCCTAGCTTTTCAAAGCGTGACAAATTCAAAAGTTTGTTTTGTAGACTCGGTATACACAATCAACCAGAAGAGCAGTTTTTTCCCTAGTTAGATTGATTTCAATCTAAAATTATTGACATGCTTTTTATGCGTTTTTGCCTATATGCAAGTTGCAAAAACACATATTGAGACGACCTTGTCTGTGCGTGTGTGTGTGTATGTTTGTGTGTGTGTGTGTGTTCGTCTGTCCGGGTATTTCAGCTCGGCAACCAA